CTACCTGCGCTGCCACCTTCAGTGATCTGTGGACCTGTATATTCAGAACCCTCTGCATATCAATACTTCTAAGGGTTCTGCCATACACTGTAGAATTTCCACCTGTTCTTGAACTTCCAAAGTGCATCACCTCACATTTGTGCGGATTAAACTCCATCTGCCATTTTTCTGCCCATGCCTCCAACTGGTCTATATTCTGCTATATCCTCTGATAATCTTCCTCACTATCCACAGCTCCACCAATCTTTGTATCATCCTACAAATTTACTAATTAGACCAGAAACGTTTTTCTCCAAATCATTTATGTAGGTCATGAACAGCAGAGATCCCAGCATTGATCCCTGTGGAACACTACTGGTCACACCTTCCATTCCGAAAAGCATCCTTCCACCGCTACCCTCTGTCTCCTATGACTAAGCCAGTTCTGTATCCATCTTGCCAGGTCATCCCTGATACCATGTGACTTTACCTTTTGTACCAGCCTACCATAAGGACCTTGTCAAAGGCTTTACTGAAGTCCACGTAGACAACATCAACTGCTTTTCCCTCATCAGTCATCTTTGTCACCTCGTCAAAGACTCGATTAAGTTAATGCGGCATAACTTCCCCTGCACAAAACTATGCTGCCTATTGCTAATAAGTCCATTTGTTCCTAAACGCGTATAGATCTTGTCTCTGAGAATCTTTTCTAATAATTTCCCTACCACTGATGTGAGACTCCCAGGCCTGTAATTTCCAGGATGATCCCTGCTACCCTTCTTAAACAATGGGACAACATTAACAATTCTCCAATTTTCTGGGACCTCACCTGTGGCCAAAGAGGATACAAAGATATCTGTCAATGCTCCAGCAATTTGTTCTCTTGCCTCCCTCAATATTCTGTGATAGATCCCATCACAACTTGGGGACTTATCTACTTTAATACTCTTTAAGATGCACAACACCTTTTTAATAGCAACTTGGCTTAGAAACTTGACCATCTCTTCTTGAGATCATCCTCCACCAATTCCTTCTCTTTGCTGAATACTGACGCAAAGTGTTCATTTACGACTTCACATGCCTCTTCTGGCTCCACATTTAGATTCCTTCCATTATCCTTGAGTAGGCCAACCCTTTCTCTGGTTACCCTCTTGCTGTTCATGTATGTATAAAAACCCTTGGGATTCTCCTTAACCCTGTCACTAACGACTTTTTCTGACCCTTTTTAGCCCTTTTAATTCCTTGTCTAAGTTCTTCCTTATATACCTCAAGGGCTTCATCAGTTCCCATCCTCCTAGACGTTACGCATGCTTCCTTTTTCTTTTTGACCAAGCTTGTAAGATCCCTGGTCATCCAAGGTTCACGTAACTTGCCATACCTATCCTTCATTGTTGCATTCGCTCATCTTTTTCTCTTCACATATCTATATCAGCTTTTTTTTTTGCTGTTCAGATAGTTTGCCTTTTCATTCTTCCAACCAAAATTGATAACCTCACACTTATCCAAGTTAAACTTTGTCTGTTGATGTTGATGATTCTTCGTTAGTTTACTGATGATCCAGAGTAGACTGATTGAAGTGGTAATTGGCTGGGTTGGATGTTATTATGTTTTCTTTTGTACAGGATATAACTGGGCATACTTGAATTTCTGGATACATGTTAGTTTTGTAGCTATAGTGGAAGAGCTTGCCTAGGAGTTTGGCAACTTCTACCACACAAGTCTTCAGTACTATTACTGGAATGTTGTCAGGACTCAAAGCTTTTGCAATATCAAGTGGCTTGACCTGTTCCTTGATATCACGTGGAGTAAATCAAACTGGCAGAACACTGGTATCTATGATGCTGGGTACTTCTGGAGGAGATCGAGATGCATCATCCACTTGAAGATTGATGCAAATGCTTCAGTCACATCTTTTGGACTGATGTGCTGGGCTCCCCCATGATTGCAGATGCGGATAATTGTGGACCCTCTTTGTCCAGTGAGTTGTTTACACACACAAACAAAAACATTAGTGCTGGAAAAGCTTAGCAGATCTGGCAGCATCTGTGAGAGAAATTAATGAATGTTTCAGGTCGTTCCTCAGAACTAATGGTAGTTAGGAAAATTTCGGTTTATATGCAGAAGATAGGGAGTGGGTAAGATGTAAATAATAGATGGGGATAGATCCCAAAGATAGAGAAGAACAATCGGACAGACAAAGGATTAGATAACGATCTGGCTAGGAGGGTGAATAAAAACAAAGTTGCTTGAAAAGCTCTGCAGGTCTGGCAGCATCTGTGAAGGAGAAAACAAAGTTAACGTTTCGGGTCCGGTGACCCTTCCTCAACAGATGGTGGCTGGGAAAACGTCAGTTTATATGCAGAAAATAGGGAGGTGGGTGGGGTAGGGAGTAAATGATAGGATAGAGCCCAAAGAGAGAGAAAGACAGTTGGACAGACAAAGGAGTTGCTAATGATCAGGCTGGGAGGGTGAGTAGTTGTTAATAGGGTCTATTAGTGACTAACAATAAGCGGTGTGTAGTGGCGGGCTATGTGGTAACAAGGCCTGGTGTGTGGGGTGGGGGGCTGGGACATGGGAGAGTTTAGGCCCTAAAATTATTGAACTCAATATTGAGTCCAGAGGGCTGTAGGGTCCCCAGGCGGAAAATGAGGTGTTGTACCTCCAGCTTGCGTTGGGCTTTTCTTCATATAAACTGACGTTTTCCCAGCCACCATCAGTTCTGAGGAAGGGTCACTGGACACGAAACGTTAACTCTGTTTTCTCCTCCACAGATGCTGCCAGACCTGCTGAACTTTTCCAGCAGCTTTGTTTTTGTTCCTGATTTACAGCATCTGCAGTTCTTTTGGTTTTTATTTAGGAGGGTGAATAGCTGTTAATGGAAACTGTTAGTGGCTAACAATAGGTAGTCTGTAATGGAAGACGATGTGATAACAAGGCCTGGTGTGTGGGGTAGGAGGCTAAGACATGGAAGAGTTCAGGCCCTAAAGTTATTGAACTTGATATTGAATCTGGAGGGTTGCAGTGTTCCCAATCAGAAAATAAGGTGTTGTTCTTCCAGCTTGCGCTGTGTTCCACTGGAACACTCAGCAGGCCTGAGACACAAATGTTGGCCAGGGAACAGGGTGGTCTGTTAAAGTGTTTCAGAGATAGTAGGAACTGCAGATGCTGGAGAATCTGAGATAACAAGGTGCAGAGCTGGATGAACACAGCAGGCCAAGCAGCATCAGAGGAGCAGGAAAGCTGACGTTTCGAGCCGAGACCCTTTTTCAGTGGCAGGCAACGGGAAGCTTGGGATCTTTTTTGCAGGCAGAACCTAGATGTTCTGCAAAGCAGTCCCCTGTCTATGTTTCGCTTCCCCAATATAGAGGAGACTACGTTGTGAGCAGCAAATGGAGTAGACTAGATTGTGTGAAGAGCAGGTGAACTGCTGCTTCACCTGGAAGGTATATTTGGGTCCTTGGATACTGAGGTGGGGAGGAGGTAAATGGGCAGGTATTACACCTACGGTGTTGCAGGGGAATGTCCCGTGAGGCTTTGAGGGCGTGTTAGGAGTCAAGGAAGAGTGGAACACTCTTGGGGAATATGGATTGGAAGCAGCTGTTAGAGGGTAAATCCACATTTGATATGTGGCAGGCTTTTAAAGAGGTTGATTAGAGTGCAGGACAGACATGTCCCTGTGAAAATGAGGGATAGAAAGGGCAAGATTAGGGAACCATGGAGGACAGGTGAAATTGTGAGACTAGCAAAGAGGAAAAAGGAAGCATACGTAAGGTCTGGGCGACTGAAAGCAAACAAAGCTTTGGAAGAATATCAGGAAAGTAGGACCAATGTGAAACGAGGAATTAAGAGGGCTAAAAGGGGTCATGAAATATCTTCAGCAAACAGGGTTAAGGAAAATCCCAAAGCCTTTTATTCATATATAAGGAGCAAGAGGGTAACTACAGAAAGGCCCACTCAAGGACAAAGGAGGGAAGTTATGCGAGGAGTCGGAGAAAATGAGTGAGATTCTTGATGAGTACTTTGCATCGGTATTCACTGAGGAGAGGGACACGATGGATGTTGAGGTAAGGGATAGATGTTTGATTACTCTAGGACAAGTCGGCATAAGGAGGGGGCAAGTGTTGGGTATTGTAAAAAGCATTAGGGTGGACAAGTCCCCAGGTCTGGATGGGAAAATTGATGCACAGAGAGATCTGAGTGTTCAGGTCCATTGTACCTTGAAGGTGGCAACGCAGGTGGATAGAGTGGTCAAGAAGGCATACGGCATGCTTTCATTCATCGGACGGGGTATTGAGTACAAGTGTTGGCAGGTCATGTTACAGTTGTATAGGACTTTGGTTCGAGCGCATTTGGAATACTGCGTACAGTTCTGGTCGCCACATTACCAAAAGGATGTGGATGCTTTGGAGAGGGTGCAGAGGAGGTTCACCAGGATGTTGCCTGTTATGGAAGGCGCTAGCTATGAGGAGAGGTTGAGTAGATTAGGATTATTTACATTAGAAAGACGGAGGTGAGGGGGGACCTGATTGAGGTCTACAAAATCATGAGAGGTATAGACAGGGTGGATAGCAAAAAGCTTTTTCCCAGAGTGGGGGACTCAATTACTAGGGGTCACAATTTCAAGGTGAGAGGGGAAAAGTTTAAGGGAGATATGCGTTGAAAGTTCTTTACGCAGAGGGTGGTGGGTGCCTGGAACGCGTTGCCAGCGGAGTTGGTACAGGTGGGCACGATAGCATCATTTAAGATGTATCTAGACAGATAAATGAATGGGCAGGGAGTAGAGGGATACATATCCTTGGAAAATAGGCGACATGTTTAGATAGAGGATCTGGATCGGCGCAGGCTTGGAGGGCCGAAGGGTCTGTTCCTGTGCTGTAATTTTCTTTGTTCTTTGGAACAGGGTGTCCCAGAAGGAACAGTCCCTGCAGAAGGCGGACAAGGGAGGGAGGGGAGGGGAATGTGTTTCTGGTGGTAGCATCTCGCTGGAGGTGGCAGAAATGGTGTCTGATGATCTTCTGGATATGGATACTGGTGGGATCGTGGTTGAGGATAAGGAGAACCCCATCATTGTTGTGGAAGGGAAGAGACTGGGTGAGGGCGGAAGTGTGGGAGATGGGTTGGACCCGGTTGAGGGCACTGTCGACAGTGGTACAGGGTGGGGAATCCTCAGTTGAGGAAGAAAGTGGACGTTTTGGAGGCCATCTTCTCAAAGTTGGCCTTAGCAGAGCATATGCGGAGGCTGAGGAACTGGGAGAATGGAATGGAGCCTTTTCACAATGCAGGGTGCGAGGATGTATAGTCCAGGTAGCTGTGGGAGTCAGTGGGTTTACAGTGGATCTTGATGGCCAGTCTATCCCCAGAAATGGAAATAGAGATCTCAAGGAAAGAAAGGGTGGAGTCAGAGAAAGACCAAGTGAAAGTGAGGGCAGGGTGGAAATTGGAAGTGAAATTGAACTTTTCCAAATCCAGAAGCAAGAGGGAAGGAGCACAGATGATATCATCAATATTTCGGAGAGAGTGTTATGGGTAGGGGCCAGAATTGGACTGGAACAAGGAATGTTCCACCTACCTCACGAAAAGACAGGCATAACGAGGACTCATGCGTGTACTCACGACCACCCCTCTGACCTGAAGAAAATGTGAGGAGTTGATGGAGAAGTAGTTGGGAGTGAGGACGAGCTTGGCCAAGTGGAGGAGGGTGGTGATGGGTGGGGATGGTTCAGGCCTTTGTTCCAGGAAGAAGAAGAAAGCTCTGAGACTATACTGGTAGGAGATGGACCCGTGAAGGGATTGCACGTGCCTGGTAAAGAGGAAGCGGCTGGAGCCTACAAACTGGAAATCTCAAAATTGGCATAAAGCATCAGAGGAATCGCAGATGTACGTGGGCTGGGACATGACCAGGGGAGAAAACACCAAGTCAAGGTAGGAAGAGATGAGTTCTGAGATAACAAGGTGCAGAGCTGGATGAACACCTGGTTATCTCAGATTGTCCAGCATCTGCAGTTCCTACTATCTCAGAGATGAGTTCTGTTGGGTTGGAGCAGGCTGACAGAATGGGTCTACCCAAACAGTCATGTTTGTGGATTTTCGGAAGGAGACACAAGCGAGCTGTGTGGGGCTGGAGGACTATCAGCTTGGTAGCAGTTGTGGGGGGAGATCACCAGATGAAATGAGATCAGTGACCATACTGGATGTAATGACCTGATGTTCCACGGTGGAACATCATGGTCATGGTCTGGGGAAGATAGGAGGAGGTATCTAAGAGCTGGCACTCGGCCTCTGTGATGCAGAAGTCAGTACACCAGACTGCAACAGCACCACCTTTATCGGCAGTCTCTATAACAAAGTCAGGGTTGGATCTAAGCCCACAGAGTGCAGTCAGTTCGGAAAGAGATAGGTTGGATCGGGTGAAGGGTGGCAGAGAAATTGAGGCCACCAATGTCACGTCGACAGTTCTCAATGAACAGATCAAATGAAGATAAAAGGCCAGAGGGAGAAGTCCAGGTAGAAGGGAGAGTGTTGGAGCTGGGTGAAGGGGTCTGTGGGACAAGGAGAGGACTCTTGTCTAAAGAAATGGACACGGAGGCGAAGATGGTGGAAGAAGAGTTTAATGTCATGTTGTGCCCGAAATTCATTAAAATGGGAATGCAGAGGGATAAATCTGAGACCCTTGTTGAATGCAGAACATTCAGCATCGGAGAGCGGAAGGTTGGAAGGGATGGTGAATACCTGACAGGAGGTGGGGTTGGGGAAGGGGTTGGAGTCAGAGGGAAGGGGAGGGGAGGAAGATTCCAGAGAGCCATGGATATCTCTGAGTTGTTTAATTTCCACCATCATTTGTGACTCAACGTGGCAGGGCTGCAGAGCTTGGATCGCTCATTTAGTTGTGGAATTACTTAGCATTGTCTATGATTTGCTGTGTGCGCTGTTTGGCACGCAGGTCATCCTGTTTTGTTACTTCAGGTTGACACCTCATTTTTAGGTGTACGTCCTGCACTGTTCATTGAACCAGGTTGAACCAGGTTGATCCCCAGGTTAATGGTAATGGTAGAGTCTGGGTTATGACGGCCATGAGATTGTAGATTGTGTTGAAGTATGATTTTGCTGCTGTTGATGGCCCACTGTCCCTCATGGATGCCCAGTCTCGATTGCTAGATCTGTTCAAAGTTTGTCCCATTTAGTACGGTGATTGTGCAACACAACGTGATTAAAGGAGGACTGACTTGCAGTCAGTTCTTGAATTGAATTAGCTTTATTGTCACATGCTTAAATGAATACAGTGAAAAGTTTACAGTCACTGCATTGCAGTGCCATCTTACATACAAAGGTACCTAGTTACAGATACATAAGTTCAAATCCTTAGGAAAAGGAAGCAAGTTAGAAAGGTAAAGAAATAAGTAGTCCAACATTATCGGTAATAGGAATAAATTAGAAAAATCAAGAAATAAAAAGTTGAGAATATTAGTCTTTCCAAGCCCCAAGGGAGACCTCTCCTTTTTGGAAAGAAACAAGAGACATGACAGCAACTGGTCAGAAACTGCTATTGGGGAGGATCCGTATATTGCCCTAAATTAGAAGTGTGTATTTATTAAGCAGCAGAAATGAGGGGAAGTTAGATGCAACATTATAAAATATGTAAGTCAAAGTAGGTAAGAGAGGGAGAGTGAAGCTGATACCAGGTTGGGTGGGAGGGTGAACAGTGACGAGGGCGCAGAGATCCTTCAGCATGATCTCGACAGGTTGGCTGAGTGGGCAAATCAATGGCTGATGCAGTATAATTTGGTTAAATGTGAGGTTATTCACTTTGGAAGCGAAAACAAGAAAGCAGATTACTGCCTGAATGGTTGTAAATTGGGAAAGGCGAGCGTGCAGCGGGACCTGGGTGTCCTTGTGCACCAGTCACTGAAAGTAAGCATGCATTTGCAGCAGGCGGTAAAGAAGGCAAATGGTAAGTTGGCCTTCATTGCAAGAGGTTTCGAGTTCAGGAGCAGGGATGTGTTATTGCGGTTATACAGGGCCTTTGTGAGGCCACAACTGGAATATTATGCAGAGTTTTGGTCTCTTTTCCTGAGGAAGGATGCTCTTTCTCTCATGGGAGCGCAGCCACGGTCTACCAGGCTGATTCTGGGGATGGCAGGTCTGACATATGAGGAGAGGATGACTAGGTTGGGATTATTTTTGATTGAGTTCAGACAAATAACAAAGAACAAAGAAAATTACAGCACAGGAACAGGCCCTTCGGCCCTCCAAGCCTGCACCGACATGCTGCCTGTCACAACTGAAACCCCCTGACCTTCTGGGGACGGTATCCCTCTATTCCCATCCTATTCATATACATGTCAAGACGCTCTTTAAAAGTCACTATAGTATCTGCTTCCACTACCTCCCCCAGCAGCGAGTTCCAGGCACCCACCACCCTCTGTGTAAAAAAACTTGCCTCGGACATCACCTTTAAACCTTGCCCCTTGCACCTTAAACCCATGGTCCCTGGTAACTGACTCTTCCACACTGGGAAAAAGCTTCTGACAGTCTAGTCTGTCCATGCCCTTCATAATCTTGTAGACCTCTATCGGGTCCCCCCTCAACCTCCATTGTTTCAGTGAGAACAACCCAAGTTTCTCCAATCTCTCCTCATAGCTAATGCCCTCCATATCAGGCAACATCTTTTCTGTACCGTCACCAAAGCCACCACACCCTTCTGGTAGTGTGGCGACCAGAATTGAGCACAATATTCCAAATGTGGCTTAACTTAGGTTCTATAAAGCTGCAACAATACCTGCCAATTTTTAAACTCAGTGCCCCGCCGATGAAGGCAAGCATGCCATATGCCTTGTTGACTACCTTTTCCACCTGTTGCCATTTTCAGTGACCTGTGTACCTGTACACCCAGATCCCTCTGCCTATCAGTACTCTTAAGGGTTCTGCCATTTACTGTATATTTTCCGTCTGGATTAGACCTTCCAAAATGCATTACCTCACATTTTTCTGGATGAAACTCCATCTGCCATCTCTCTGCCCAAGTCACCAACCGATCTATATAGTGCTGTATCCTTTGACGGTCCTCATCGCTATCTGCAATTCCACCAACCTTTGTGTCATTGGCAAACTTACTAATCAGACCAGTTACGTTCTCCTCTAAATCATTTATATAAGAACATAAGAACTAGGAGCAGGAGTGGGCCGTCCGGCCCTTCGAGCCTGCTCCGCCATTCAATAAGATCATGGCTGATCTTTTCGTGGACTCAGATCCACTTACCCGCATTCTCACTGTATCCCTTAATTCCTTTATTGTTCAAAAAATATCTACCTTTTTTTTAAAAATGTTTACTGAAGTAGCGTCAACTAATTCACTGGGCAAGGAATTCCATAGATTAACAACCCTCTGGGTGAAGAAATTCCTTCCCAATTCAGTCCTAAATCTGCTCCTTCTAATCTTGAGGCTATGCCCTCTTGTCCTAGCTTCACCTGCCAGTGGAAACATCCTCTCTACTTCTATCTTATCTATTCCCTTCATAATTTTATATGTTTCTATAAGATCCCCCCTCAATCTTCTGAATTCCAATGAATATAATCCCAATCTACTCAGTCTTTCCTCATAAGCCAACCCCCTCAACTCTGGAATCAACCTAGTGAACCTCCTTTGCACCCGTTCCAGTGCCAGTACATCCTTTCTCCAGTAAGGAGACCAAAACTGTACACAGTACTCCAGGTGTGGCCTCACCAGCACCTTGTACAGCTTCAACATAACCTCTCTGCTTTAAATTTCAATCCCTTTAGCAATGAAGGACAAAATTCCATTTGCCTTCCTAATTACTTGTTGTACCTGCAGACCTACCTTCTGTGATTCATGCACAAACATTACAAACAGCAAAGGTGCCAACACTGATCCCCGAGGAACGCCGCTAGTCACAGCCCTCCATTCAGAAACGCACCCTTCCGCTGCTACCCTCTGTCTTCTATGACCGAGCCAGTTTTTTATCCATCTTGCAAGCTCACCTCTGACCCCGTGCGACTTTACCTTCTGTTTTGGCCCTCCATGAGGGACCTTGTCAAAGGCGTTACTGAAGTCCATGTAGACAACGTGCACTTCCCCACCCTCATCGATCACCTTTGTCACTTGCTCAAAAAACTCAACCAAGTTAGTGAGACACGACCTCCCCTTCACAAAACCATCTTGCCTCTTGCTAATATGCCCATTGATTTCCAGGTGGGAGTAAATCCTGTCTCGAATAATGCTCTCCCATAATTTCCGCACCACTGATGTAAGGCTCACCAGCCTATAATTAGGTGGATTATCCTTGCCACCCTTCTTAAACTAAGGAATAACATTGGCTATTCTCCAATCCTCTGGGACCTCCCCTGTAGCCAGTGAGGATACAAAGATTTCCCTCAAGGCCCCAGCAGTTTTCTCCTTTGCCTCTGTCAGTATTCTGGAGTATATCCCATCAGGCCCTGGGGACTTGTCTACCTCATTGTTCTTCAAGAACCCCAATACCACCTCCATTTTGACCTCAACATGACCCCAACTATCTACACACCCTTCCCCAGACTCATCATCCACCAAGTCCTTCTCTGTGGTGAATACTGACACAAAGTACTCATTTAATGCCTCGCTCATTTCCTCTGGCTCCACACAAATTCCCTTCCCTGTCCTTGAGTGGGCCAACCCTCTGCCTGGCTACCCTCTTACTCTTTATATATGTATAAAGAGCCTTGGGATTGTCTTTAATCCTGGTGACCAATGATTTTTCATGACTCCGTTTAGCCCTCCTGACTCCTTGCTTAAGTTTTTTTTTGACTCTCCTTGTATTCCACCCTTGCTTTGTGTGTTCCCAGCCTCCTAGCCTTGATAAATGCTTCCTTTTTGTTTGATTAGGCTCTCGATATCTCTCGTTATCCAATGTTCCCTAAACTTGCCATACTTATTCTTCATCCTTAAAGGAACGTGCCGGTTCTGAGTTCCGTAAAAATTACACTTGAAAGCCTCCCACGTACCATATGTTGATTTGCCCTCAAACATCTGCCTCCAATCTACATTCTTCAATTCCTGCTTAATGTTGTTGTAATTAGCCTTCCCCCAGTTTAGCACCTTCACCTGACAACTACACGATCTTTATCCATCAGTACCTTTAAAGCTTACTGAATTGTGATCACTGTTCCTGAGCTGCTCCCCTACTGATTCGTCAAGCACCTGGCAAGGCTCATTCCCCAGTACTAGGTCCAGTACGGCCCCTTTCCTAGTTGGACTATCTACGTACTGTTTCAAGAAGTCCTCCTGGATGCTCGTTACAAACTCTGCCCCATCCGAGCTCCAAGCACCCAGTGAGTCCCAGTCAATAAATGGGAAGTTAAAATCACCCACGACAACAACCCTGTTACTTTTACATCTTGTCAAAATCTGCCGACATATCTGTTCTTCTATCTCCCGCTGGCTGTTGAGAGACTTATAGTAAACCCCAAACATTGTGATTGCACCCTTCCTGTTCCTGAGCTGTACCCATATTGCCTCGCTGTATGAGCTATCCAAGGTGTCCTCCCACAGTACAGCTGTGATATAGTCCTTAACAAATAGTGCAACTCCATCATCCTTTTTATATCCCCCTCTATCCCTCCTGAAACATCTGTATCCTGGAACATTAAGCTGCCAATCCTGTCCCTCCCCTAACCAAATCTCTGTCATAGCAACACCATCATAGTTCCAAGTACTAATCCAAGTTCTAAGTTCATCTGCCTCACCTGTTACGCCTCTTGCATTGAAACAGATGCACTTCAGTCCACCAGATCCGCTTTGATCAGCAACCACACCCTGCCTGCTCTTCCTCTGAGTTTTACTGGCCCTATTGTCTAGTTCCCTTTCAGTCAATTCACCTTTGCATTGGTTCCCATCCTCCCGCCCCCCCCTCCCGCCCGGGAGCCAATGTAGTTTAAATCCTCCTGAGTGACACCAGCAAACCTCCCAGTCACAATATTTGTGCCCCTCCAGTTTAGATGCAACCCGTCCTTCTTGTACAGGTCCCACCTGCCCTGGAAGAGATCCCATTTCTGAAGAAGAGTCTAGGCCCGAAACGTCAGCTTTCCTGCTCCTATGATGCTGCTTGGCCTGCTGTGTTCATCCAGCTCTACACCTTGTTATATCAGAGATCCCAATGGCCCAGATAACTGAAACCCTCACTCCCGCACCATCTGTTTAGCCATGTGTTGAGCTGTACTGTCCTCCTATTTCTAGCCTCACTGGCCCGTGGCACAGGGAGTAATCCTTAGATTAAAACCTTGGAGGTCCTGCTTTTTAACTTTCTACCTAACTCCCTGAACTGCTGCTGCAGGACCTCATCACTCATCCTATCTATGTTGTTAGTACCAATGTGTACCACCACCTCTAGCTGTTCACCCCCTCCCTTCAGAATGCTTTCTGCCCGTTCAGAGATATCCTGGACCCTGGCGACACGCCATCCTGGAGACTCTCTTACATCCACATAAGCGCCTATCTGTCCCCCTAACTATAGAGCCCCCTATAACTACTGCTCCAGTGCTTTTTGTTCTTCCCTTCTTATGAACAGAGCCAGCCGTGGTACCACCAGTCTGGCTGCTGCTGCTGCTGTTACCCCCTGAAAGGCCATGCCCCCCCCTCCCCCAGCAGTATCCAGAACGGTATACTTGTTAGAGAGGGGGACAACCACAGGGGATTCCTGCACTGCCTGCCCGCCCCTTCTAGCGGTCACCCAACTATCTGCCTGCACCTTGGATGTCACCGCATCTCTAAAACTACTGTCTATGATGCTTTCCGCCATCCTCCTGCTCCTAAGTGCATCCAATTGCTGCTCCAACCTATCCATGTGGTGTGTGAGGAGCTGCAGTTGGGTGCACTTTCTGCAGATGTAGTCGTCCGAGACACTGGAAGTGTCGCGGATCTCCCACATCTCACAAGTGAAGCACTTAACCCCTCTGAATGACATTTCTATCCCCAAATCAAATGACGGGGGAATCCCATAGAGACTTATAAAATTCTAACAGGACTGGACAGGGTAGATGCAGTTGATGCCAGAACATTGAGTGAATTCAAGAGGTGGCTGGATATAGCACTTGAAGCGAATGGGATCAAAGGTTGTGGGGAGAAAGCAGGATTAAGCTATTGCGTTGGACGATCAGTCATGATCGTGAAAAAATGGCAGAGCAGGCTCGAAGGGCTGAATGGTTGCCTCCTACTCCTACCTTCTTTGTTTCTATGTTCTGAGCTCCTGTACATTGAGAAAATGAAACACAGATTGGGTGATCACTTTGCGCAACACCTACATTTGTTCTGCAAGATTGACTCTGGACTTCCACTTGTCTGCCACTTTGATACACCACTATGCTCCAATGTCAACATTTCTGTCTCAGACCTACAGCAGTGCTTGAGCAAGACTTAACACAAGCTACAAGAACAATACCTCATGTTCTGCTTGGGGGACTTGTGGAGCCTTCAGGATTTGAATCATGTTAGAGCTGTAACATCTCCTGCGCATCATCTACCAACCTGTTATCACAGCTCCTGTAATGAAACAGGTTGCTTTCAGCATAGGCAGCCCATTATCACTTGCCTAGCTTCTCTCCTTCCCTGGCTTACTATCAACGATCCTTTTGACTGCCTAACCATTTTCTTTCTATCTCCGGGCTCCGTCTCCACCTATGCACACGGTCCTTTCCCACCCCCTAACACACACACTGCCCCACACACAGCCCACTCCATCATCAGTGTAAATACCACCTTTTCCTAGCTGCTCTCAATTCTGAAGATGAGTCACTGGACTCAAAATGTTATGTCTGCTTTCTCTCCACAGATGCTGCCAGACCTGCTGAGCTTTTCCAGCAACTTTGTTTTTCCTCCTGATTTATTTTTTGATTTCTCAGTAGTGGATTAGATAAACTGAGTGGTTTACTTGACCCTTTCCTTTGTCTTTGTCTTTCCTTTTGTTATGCTAATAGTTTTCCTTTTCTCCCTCAGATCCAATTGTTCAGATCGCCATTGACAACTCAAGGAACATCTTGTACACACGCTCAGAAAAGGGTGTGCTACAGGTAGGTCTTTTCATGTTATGACTACACTGCAAACCAATTGCTGCATTCCAGTGACACTGACACCTATTCACTGCATCACCTTGACATCCTTTGCTGCGTCATAGTGCAACTGACGTGGGTTGCTGCATGACACTGACACCCAGACACCGTATAATGCTGACACTGACACCCATTTGCTGTCTTATAATGACTGAAAAAGCCAGATGACTGTTCTACGGCAAGCTGCCCTTCTAGATTCTCACATGTCTGCTTCAAGCCTTCCAGTCGGTCAGCGCTGAAATGCTTGCAAATTTTTTGATAATTCTCCTTCATGTGATTGTCTCTGCCGTTCTCCTACATTGTCTCTGTGCGATCACACAATCTCAGAAGTGTTATGAATCATAGAATCATAGATCATAGAATCCCTACAGTGTGGAAACAGATCCTTGGGCCCAACAAGTCCACACCGATCCGAGGAGCATCGCACCCTGACCCATCCCTCTATAACCCATCTAAGCTACACATCCCTGAGCACTACGGGCAATTTAGCATGGCCAATCCACCTAACCTGCACATCTTTGGACTGTGGGAGGAAACCGGAACACCCGGAGGAAACCCACATAGACACGGGGATAATATGCAAACTCCACACAGACAGTCGCCTGAGGCTGGAATCAAACCCGGATCGCTGGCGCTGTGAGGCAGCAGTGCTAACCACTGAGCCACCGTGCCGCCCAAATGAAACCCTGTCATGAGTACCACTACGCCATTGCTTCCCGTCTGCTGATGCAGACAGATGCCATTCAGCGCAACGTGTCTGCACTGGCTCTTCAAACAAGTATTGGATGTCTCAATTGAACCTGCCTCCATCAATGTCTTAACGACTCGTTACGTGTAAAAGATTTTCCTTGCATCACCTTCACTTCATTTGCACATCGCTTTCATCTCTGCCCTCTTGTTCCTTTTACAAGTGGTAACAACTTCTCCCTATCTACTGTCTCCAGCCCCCTCATGATCTTGAAAACATCAGTCAAATCTCCCCACTGCTGCCTTCTGTCCAGTGAGAACATTCCTAACATTTCAATCTATCCTAATCACTGAACCATTTCTGGAACCATTCTTTCCATTGCATTCACATCCTTTCTATAATGTGGCGCCCACAACTGCACAATACTTCAGCAGAAGCCTAACAAGTGTCTTGTGCAAGTTCAATATCACTTCCTTGCTCTTGTAGTCTATGCCCCCATTCATAAAGTTAAGGACGTTGTATACTTTATTTACTGCTCCCTCCATCTGTCCTGCCATCTTCAGTAATCTGTGCACATACACACCAAGGTCCCTTTAGAATTATACTCACTATTTTATATTGTCTGTCAATGCTTTCCCAATCAAAGTGCATCATCTCACACTACTCTGCACAGAATCTCATCTGCCACCTATCAGCCTGCTCCAAGAACTTGACAATATCCTTTGGGACATCCACACGCTCCTCCTCACAGTTTACAATTCTTCCACGTTTAGTATCAACTGAAAACTTGAAAATTGTCCCCTGCACACCAAGATCCAGATCATTGACTTCAAGCTTCTTTGTTATCTCATCAAAAAGGCTCCAATAATTGAACGCAACTTTCAGTTTAGAAATTCATGCTGAATCTTTGTACTCAACGCACCTTTTTCCATGTGACTACGAATTCTGTCCCAAATAGTTGTTTCTAAAAGCTTCCTCACCACTGAAGTTAAACTAACTGGTCTGTAATTGCCACAAAAAACCTTACAGTCTTTTTGAATAAGTCTGTAATGTTGTCGGTTCACCAGAGTTATGGCATCTGCCTTGAGTCCATGGAAGGCTGAAAGATTGTGGCCAGTGACCCTGCAATTTCTACCCTCCCTTTCTTCAAAATCCTTGGAAGCATGTCAGCCAGTCTCTATGCCCTGTTAACTTTTAAGTACCAACAGTCTATCCAAGACTAATTTATTAATTTTGAACCCTTCTAGTGAGAGTTTCCTGTTCTGCCACCATGGCATACTTACATAGAACATTACAGCGTAGTGCAGGCCCTTCGGCCCTCGATGTTGCGCCGACGTGTGAAACCAATCTGAAGCCCATCTAACCTAAACTATTCCATTATTATCCATATGTTTATCCAATGACCATTTAAATGCCCTTAAAGTTGGCGAGTCTACTACTTTTGCAGGCAGGGCATTCCACGCCCTTAATACTCTCTGAGTAAAGAACCTACCTCTGACATCTGTCCTATATCTATCACCCCTCAATTTAAAGCTATGTCCCCTCGTGCCAGCCATCACCATCCGAGGAAAAAGACTCCCACTGTCCACCCTATCTAATCCTCTGATCATCTTAGGCAGCATCCTCCTGTTCTGTAAAGACAGGTCTAACATATTCATACCTGCTGCCTCCATGTATAAATGCCCTTTTTGTTCTCTCATTGGCCCAACTGCTCTTTTAGCTCTGTCGTTGTTTAGGTGCCGATTAAAAATTTTGGGATTCTCCTTTTGTGTTAGCTGTTAGACTTTTCTCGTAGTTCCCGTTTGCTTATTTCATTTGCTTTTTCATCAACCCCCACCTTAGCAAACTTTAGATATTTCTGTTGATTCTCAATTGTTTTCTTCTGCCTTACACCTGTTATAAACACACTTTTTTTGTCTAATTTTTATTTTTACATCATTTGTCATCCATGGAACTCTGCTGAAAGAACATAGAACAGTACAGCACAGTACAGGCCCTTCGGCCCACGATGTTGTGCCGACCTATTATCCTACTCTAAGATCAAACTAACCTGCATTCCCTTCATTTTACGATCATCCATGTGTCTATCCAAGAGTCGCTTAAATGCCCCCAATGTATCTGACTCTACTATCACCCCCCGCCGTGCATTTCACGTACCCACCACTCTCTGTGTAAAGAATCTACCTCTGACATCTCCCCATACCTTCCTCCAATCACTTTAAAATTATGCCCCCTCGTAATAGTCATTTCAGCCCTGGGAAAAAGTCTCTGGCTATTCACTCTATCTATGCCCCTCATCATCTTGTACATCTCTATCAAGTCACCTCTCATTCTTCTTTGCTCCAATGGAAAAAACCCTAGCTCCCTCAACCTTTCCTCATAAGACCTGCCCTCCAGTCCAGGCAGCATCCTGGTAAATCTCCTCTGCACCCTCTCTAAAGCTTCCACATCCTTCCTGTAATAAGGCAACCAGAACTAAAAACAATATTCCAAGTGTGGCCTAACCAGGGTTTTGTAGAGCTGCAGCAAAATCTCACAGTTCTTAAACTCAATCCCCCTGCCAATGAAAGACAACACACCATACGCCTTCTTAACCGTATCCACTCGGTTGGCAACTTTGAGGGATCACTGGATGTGGACCCCAAGATCTCTCTGTTCCTCCACACTGCCAAGAATCTTGCCATTAACCCTGTATTCTGCATTCACATTCGTCCTTCCACAATGCATCACTTCACACTTCTGGGTTCAATTCCATCTGCCACTTCTTTGCCCAGCTCTTCATCCTGTCAATGTCTTGTTGCAACCTAAAACAGCCCTTCACACTATCCACAACTCTACCAACCTTCATGTCATCGGCAAACTTACTAACCCACCCTTCCACTTCCTCAACCAAGTAACTTATAAAGATCACAAAGAGCAGAGGTCCCAGAACAGATCCCTGCGAAACACCACTGTTCACCGAGCTCCAGGCTGAATACTTTCCATCTACTACCACTCTCTGTCTTCTATTGGACAGCCAATTTTGTATCCGGACAGCCAATTTTGTATCCAGACAGCCAAATTTCCCTGAATCCCATGCCTCCTTACTTTCTGAATGAGCATATCGTGGGCAACCTTATCAAATGCCTTGCTAAAATCCATATACACCACATCCACTGCTCTGCCTTCATCAATGTGTTTTATCACATCCTCAAAGATTTCAGTAAGGCTGGTGAGGCATGACCTGCCCCTCTGAAAGCCATACTGTCTATTTCTAATCAAACAATGCTATTCCAAATAATCATAAATACTATCTCTCAGAATCCTCTCCAATAATTTGCCCACGACAGAAGTAAGACTGACCAGTCTAATTTCTAGGATTATACCTATTCCCTTTCTTGAACAAGGGAATGACATTTGCCACCCTCCAATCATCTGGTACTACTTCAGTGGACAGTAAGGACGCAAAGATCATCGCCAAAGGGGCAGCAATCTCTTCCCTCGCTTCCCTTAGAAACCTTGGGTATATCCCATCTGGCCCAGGGGACTTATCTATCCTCATGTTTTTCAAAATTTCTAGCACATCCTCCTTCCTAACGTCAACCTGTTCAAGCATATCAGCCCGTTTCATGATGTCCTCACAAACTGCCAAGTCCCTCTCTCTGGTGAATACTGAGGCAAAGTATTCATTGAGGACCTCCCCTAGCTCCTGCGACTGCAGGCGCAAGTTCCCTCCACTATCCCTGATCGGTCCTACCCTCACTCTTGTTCTTCACGTAAGTATAGAACGCCTTGGGGTTTTCCTTAATCCTACTTGCCGAGGCTTTTTCATGCCCCCTTCTAGCTCTCCTCAGTCCATTCTTCAGATTCTTCCTAGCTACCTTGTAACCCTGTAGACCCATGTCTGATCCTTGCTTCCTCAACCTTACATAAGCTTCCTTCTTCCTCTTGACTAAATGTTCAACATGTCTTGTCATCCAAGATTCCTTTACCTTACTATCCCTTCCTTGCCTCAGTGGAACAAACCTATCCAGCACTCACAGCAAGTGCTCCCTAAACAACCTCCACATTTCTGTCATGCATTTCCCTGAGAACATCTGATCCCAATTTATGTTCCACAGTTCTTGCCTAATAGCATTGTAATTCCCCCTCCCCCAATTAAATACTTTCCCATACCGTCTGCTCCTATCCCTCTCCATGACTATAGTAAAGGTCAAGGAGTTGTGATCACTATCACCGAAATGCTCTCCCACCGAGAGACCTGACACTTGACCTGGTTCATTGTCAAGCACCAGATCCAATGTGGCTCCCCCTGTAGTCGGCCTATGTACGTATTGAGTCAGGAATCCTTCCTGGACACACCTGACAAAATCTGCTCCATCCACACTATTTGCACTAAGATAGGTTCTTGATTATCAAGGGGGTCAAGGGTTACGAGGAGAAAGCGGGAGAATGGGGTTGAGGAACTTACCAGCCATGATTGAATGGCAGATCAAACTCAGTGGGCTGAATGGCCTAATTTCTGTTCCTATGTCTTATGGTTTTATGGTCTAAGGAGGTTCCAGTCAATATTAGAGAAGTTGAAGTCACCCATGACAACAACCCTATTACTTCTGCACCTTTCCACAATCTGCCTCCTAATCTGTTCCTCAGAGTCTCTGTTGCTATTGCAGGGCCTGTAGAAAACTCCCAATAAAGTGACTGCTCCTCTCCCGATACTGACTCAGTAGACAAACCTTCCTCGACGACCTCCCTTTCTGCAGCTGTGATGCCATCCCTGATTATCAATGCCACTCCCCCACCTCTTTTACCTCCCTCCCTATTTCTTTTGAAACATCTAAACATTAGTGGGAGTGGTGGCCTGGTGGTATTATCGCTAGAGTGTTAATCCAGAAACCCAGTTAATGTTCTAGGGACCTGGGTTCAAATCCTGCTGTGGCAGATGGTGGAATTTGAATTCAATAAATATCTGGATTTATGAGTCTAAAGATGACCATGAATCCATTGTCAATTGTTGAAAAAAACCATCTGGTTCACTGATGTCCTTGAGGGAAGGAAACTGCGATCCTTACCTAGTCTGATGTACATATGACTCCAAACCCACAGCAATGTGATTGACTCTTAACTGTCCACTGGGCAATTAGGGATGGGCAATAAATGTTGCCTCGCCAGCGATGCCCTCATCCTGTGAATGAATAAAGAAAAAAATACCCCGGAACATTTAACAACCATTCCTGCCCCTGAGTTATCCAATTCTCCGTAATGGCCACAACATCGTAGTTCCAAGTACTGATCCATGCTCTAAGTTCATCACAATTACTCCTGACACTTCTTGCATTAAAATAGAGACACTTCAACCTGTCACACTCACTGCAACTTTGCTTTATCAACTGTCTATCCTTCCTCACAGATTCTCTGCATGCTGTATCCGCCTGTACACTGGCTCCCCCATCCTCTGATCCATAGCTCCAGTTCCCATCCCTCTTCCAAACTAGTTTAAACCCTCCCGAAGAGCTCTAGCAAACCTCCCACCAGGAAATTGGTGCCCCTCTGGTTCAGGTGCAACCCATCCTTTTTACGCAGTTCCCACCTTCCCCATAAGTTATCCCAGTGATCCACATATCTGAAGCCCTCCCTCCTACATCAGCTCTGTTGCCATGTGTTCAACTGCACTCGCTCTCTATTCCTAGCCTCACTAGCTCATGGCACCAGTCATAATCCTGAGATTACCACTCTGCTCGTCCTGCCTTTTAGCTTCCAACCTAACTCCCTATATTCACTTTTCAGGTTCTCATCCCTTTTCCTAGTTATGTTATTGGTACCGATGTGTACCACGACTTCTGGGTGTTCTCCCTCCCCCTTAAGAATCCTGTAGACTCGAACTGAGACATCCCTGACCCTGGCACCCGGGAGACAACATACCATCCAGGAGTCTTGTTCACGACCACAGAATCTCCTGTCTGTTCCCCTAACCATTGAATCTCCTGTAACTGTAGCTCTCCTCTTCACCCCCCTTCCCTTCTGAGCCACAGAGCCAGGCTCAGTGCCAGAGACCTGGCCATTATGGCTTTCCCCTGGTAGGTCCTTCACCACCACCACCCCCGCATCTCCGCAACAGCATCCAAAGTGCAGTATACTTATTGTTGAGGGAAACAGCCACAGGGGAGCCCTACACTGTCTGCCTATTCCCATTCCCTTTCCCTCTCCTGATGGTCACCCAGCAACCTTTATCCTGTAACTTGGGTGTGACCACTTCGCTATAACTCCTCTCTGTCATCCCCTCAGCCTCCCGAATGATCCCAAGATCCTCCAGCTCCAGTTCCCTAACGTGGTCTGTGAGGTGCTGGAGTTGGGTGCACTTCTCGCAGGTGATGTCAACAGGGACACTAGTAGTGACCCTTACCTCCCACATCCTACAAGAGGAGCATGAAATTGCTATAGCTTCCATCCCCTCTACTCTAGATTGCCAAAAGAGATAAAGAGAAAGGGGAAATAAAAGCTCACCTTACCAACCCTCCACGCAGTCTTTTTTTTTTTTTTGGTTAGAGCAGGACGATGGATGGGAGACACTACACGTGTAATGTTTCCGGTTTAGCCAATGCCCGAATATATTAGTTCACTTACCCAGCAGTCCCCGTGTCCATGTTTGCTCCTGCTTGGCCTTTGCTCCGCGTATTCACGAGGCAAGTCTTTTATTCCCGGCTGCCCCCTGGCTCACGCTCCTACCACTCTCGCTGCTGAATTAGAATTGTGTTTGTTTCTATTGTGGGTTTCCTATTGACTATGTGCCTTCTATTATGCCAGTTGATGGTGATAGGTACTCTGATTTTCAGGTGTATGACTTGGGCGTTGATGGCCAGGGAATGGGTAGAGTGGCTTCCTTATCTCAGAATTCCATCGTTTCTGCAGCAGGCAACATAGCCAGGTGAGTGAAAGTCTTGCTGATGTCAAATCTGAACTCCCGTTTGTTCTGTGCGGTGCATTGTCTTCACTGAGTCTGTTTTAAGTGGAATTTTTGCAGGTGGTGGGCATCATAGGCACTCCCATGAACAACGTGGAACGTTATCTATCAGCCATGTCAGAGTGGTCAAAATCCTATGATTCCAATTCCCATTTTAATACTTAAACATGTAAAACAGGAAGTATTGTGAGAGTACTGAAGTGCCAGAAAGCCAGTGCCGAGGGAGTGTTGCGCTGTCAGAGATGTTGATTTAGATTGGTCCACTCACATTGCTATGTTCCTTTCAGTCTACCACTCACCGAACAGTCCTCTGGGAGGATGTAAATAACTGCACAGGATGGTTTTGAAGAGCAGGTTAATTTTCCCTGGTGCCTAAGTCAATGTTCGTCATTGAACAAACAGACCAACAGAAGATTTCATTTGGCCACGTTTGGGGTATTGATGTGCACAAGTTTGCTGCCATGGATCCTACACCACACCACTGCATCTGGTGACTGCATTTCAGAATTGCTTTGTGAGCTGCTTTGGGCCTCTTCAGATCATGAAATATGTTGAGTTAAGGATGTGTTTACTATGTGAACGAGTATGCCTCAAGACAAGAGCATTAATTGATGTTGATGGGACTAAGTACAGAACAACTGCTCCTGCAGTCGATAACATAAAAATTGCCAGTTCAATTCTTTCTAATGCTATTTACAATGTTAACTGTTGATACTACTAATGGTACCAATACCAGCTAAACTGTGGGACTGGTAGTGACGTAGAATCATAAAATCATAGAATCATGTTGTACCGAAGAGACCCTTTGGCTGATCGAGTCTGCACTGACAAAAAAAAAGACATTAATCAACACTAGTAGTACTTCTTATGCTTGGCCTAAATGTTATGACATGTCGAGTGCTCATCCAAGTGCTTTTTAAAGGCTGTGAGGTTTCCAGCCTTAATTACCCTCCCAGCCAGTGCATTCCAGATTGCTGCCATCACCCTCCGAGTGGAAAAAGTGTTTCCTCAAATCCCCTCTAAAAAAAATCTCTTGCCTTTTATCTTCAAATTATGCCCCCTTGTTATTGACCCTTCAACTCAGGGGAGCAGCTGCTTTCTATTCATCTTGTCCATGTCCCTCGTGATCTTATATACCTTAATCAGGTCCTCTGTCAGCCTTCTGTGCTCGAAAGAAAACACGAGCTTGTGCAGACTCTCTTCATAGTTCAACTGCTGCATCCCAGGCAACATCCCAGTAAAGTTTCTTTGCACATCATCTGGTGTAATCACATCCTTCCTGTAGTGCAGTGACCAGAACTGCGCACAGTACTCCAGCTGTGGCCTAATCTAAGTCCTGTATGGCTCCAATATAACGTCCCAGCACTTAGAATGTATGTCTTGACTGATAAAGGCAAATGTCTTGCAATTATCTTAACTTTCCTATTGACCGGACCTGCTGCCTCCAAGGGTCTGTGGACAAGCACTCCAAAATTCCTCTGTTTCTCTGAGCTTCTTAGTGTCATGCCATTCATTTCATCGCTTATTAGTGGGGCTACCCCACCATTTTATCCTTCTGTCCTGTCTTTGCGGAACGTCGTATATCCCTGAATATTAAACTCCCAGTTCCTACTCCTTTTCCTGTTTTTATGGTATAGTGGTTTGATACAAAGGCACTGAAGTGGGTGATGAGCCATGGTCATATTAAATGACAGCAGATCTGACAGGCTGAATGACCTGCACTTGTTGTTTTTTTCCCTCCTCTGGTTTATTTGTGTTGGTGTGTATGTGTGTGCTCTTGAGTGCGCTCTTGAATATTCCTCTGTGTGTGTGTGTGCGCGCGCGCGCATGTACTTTCTGGGATATTCTTGTGTGTGTATATACTTCCTATAATATTCCTGTGTGTATGCATATACCATAAGACTATAAGAGATAGGAGCAGAATTAGGCCATTCAGCTCACTGAGTGTGTTCCACCGTTTGACCATGGCTGATATGTTTCTCGACCCATTTCCTGCATCACGCCATACCCTTGATTCCCTTACTAATCAAGAACCTATCTATAAAAACTGAAAGAACTGCAGGTGCTGTAAATCAGGAACAAAAACAGAAGTTGCTGGAGAAGCTCAGCAGGTCTGGCAGCATCCGTGAAGAAAACATCTGAGTCAACGTTTCGGGTCTGGCGACCCTTTCTTGGAACTGATGTTAACTGTGATTTTGTTATTCACGGACACTGCCAGGCCTGCTGAGCTTTTCCAGCAACTTCTGTTTAAGAATCTATCTATCTCTGTCCTAAACACATTCAATGACTTGGCCTCCACAGCCTTCTGTGGCAATGAGTTCCACAGATTCACCACCCTATAGCTGAAGAAATTTCTCCTTATCTCATTTCTATAGTACCATCCCTTCACTCTGAGGTTGTGTCCATGGGTCCTGGTCTCTACTACATGTGAAAACACCTGGGGCGTTCCTGTCATTATGCCTAATACTTTTTGGAATGTTCCTGTGTGCATGTATATATATTTTCTGGGATATTTCTGTGTGTCTGCATGTAATTTCTGGGATATTCATGTGTGGTTTAGGGTTAGGTCTGGGTGCTTATTCTAACTCTCTGGAATTTTTGGTGTGTGTATTCCACCTGTCTCTGGGATATCTTTGCTTTGGAAATACTGTGATATAGTATTGATGTTTCTTCTTAATGATCCTTTTGTCTTTCTCAGGACTATAGATCGAGCTGTGTTCAAACCAATTGTCCACATAGCAGTGATTGAGAACTCGGAGTCCGTGGATTGCCACCTGTTGGCTGTGACACATGCAGGTGAGAAGGGGCAGAGTAGGTTAATTTGTGGAATGTAGCAGAATCATAGAATCCCTACAGTGTGGAAACAGGCCATTTGGCCCATCGAGTCCACACTGACTCTCTGAAGAGCTTCCCAATCCTACCTCTGTAACCCTGCATTTCCCTTGGCTAATCCACCTAGCCTGCACATCCCTGGACACTTTGGGCAATTTATTATGGCCAGTCCACCTAACCTGCACATCTTTGGACCATGGGACGAAACCGGAGCACCCAGAGGAAACCCACACAGACACAGGAAAAACGTGCAAACTCCATGTAGATGGTCATCCAAGGGTGGAATTGAACCCACGCCCCGGCACTGTGAGGCAGCAGTGCTAACCACTGAGCCACCATGCCACCTTGTGTACTGGTGCTCAGTGCAGAGTTGGTTATTTCCTGGAGTATAGTGCAAGTGCTAGTGCTCAGAAATTGGGTATAGAGTGAAGACTGAGATACAGTAATGGGGTGGTACTGAGAATTTTTGATGCCAGATTGGCAGTATTAAGAGAGATTGTGGTTAAGTTTGAATCCACCAAAACTGATTAGGGGGGACTGTACTATGATTCCTTCTACCAGTCAAATGGTATGAACACCTCATAGAGGGTGCAGAAAAGATCACTGAATTGTCCAACAGATGAATTCTTTAGTTATATAGATATCTGAATAAACTATAATTGTTCACCTGAGACTAGACTAAGTTGAAAGGATATTTGGCAGAGGTGATTTAAATTATGAATAAATATGTAGACAATCATAGTGAAGTGAGGTGTGGAATACTGTCTGAGTATTAAAAATGTATTGAAAGACAGTGTGAATTGAATTGAGATGAAAAAATGAATTTATACGTGGGAATAGCAGATATTACTGAGGTATCAAATGAGTACTTTGTATTCTTTTTAAGCAAGGATGGAGGTGCTGCTGAAGTCATTGTGAAAGGGTTGAAGGGAGAGGTTGTTGCAATACAGAATAGGCTAAAAATTGATCAAGGGGAACATATTAGATAAAAACCAAAAGAACTGTGAATGCTGTAAATCAGGAACAAAAACCGAAATTGCTGGAAAAACTCAGCAGGTCAGGCAGCATCTGTGAAGAAAAAAATCAGAGTTAATGTTTCGGGTCCGGTGACCCTTCCTGAGAACTGACGGTAGCTTGGAAAACGTCGGTTTATGTGCAGAAAATTAGGAGGGGGTGGGGTAGGGAGTAAACGATAGGATAAAAGATAGAGCCCAAAGAGAGAGAAGAGCAGTTGGATTGACAAAAGAGTTGATAAGGTTCTCACTAGGAGGGTGAATAGCAGTATGTGGGGACTGTTAGTGACTAACAATAGGTGGTGAGTAATGGCAGGCTGTGTGATAACAAAGCCTGGTGTGTGGTGTAGAGGTCTAGGACATGGGTGAGTTTAGGTCCTAAAATTATTGAACTCGATATTGAGTTCAGAGGGCTGCAGGATCCCCAAGCAGGGAGGGAAGGCAATGGCCTAATGGTATTATTGCTGGACTGTTAATCCAGAGACCCAGATAACATTCTGGGGACTCCAGTACGAATCCCGCCATGGCAGATGGTGGAATTTGAATTCAATAAATATCTGGAATTAAGAATCTGAAGATGACCGTGAATCCGTTGTTGATTGTCGGAAAAAACCCACCTGTTTCACTAATGTCCTTTAGGGAAGGAAACTGCTATCCTTACCTGGTCTGGCCTATATGTGACTCCAGACCCACAGCAATGTGGTTGATTCTTAGGGATGGTCAATAAATGCTGCCTTGCCAGCAACGCCCTCATCCTGTGAATGAATAAAGAAAAAAAAGCAGAATATGAGATGTTGTTCTTCCAGCTTGCACTGAGCTTTGCTGGAACACTGCAGCAAGCTAGAGACAGAGATGTTGGCCAGGGAACAGGGTGGTGTGTTAATGTGGCAGGCAACAGGAAGCTCAGATAACAAGCAGGATGAACACAGCAGGCCGAGCAGGAAGGCTGATGTTTCAGGCCTAGACCCTTCTTCAGAAGACCCTTCTTTTTTTTCTGAAGAAGGGTCTAGGCCCGAAACGTCAGCCTTCCTGCTGCTCTGATGCTGCTTGGCCTGCTGTGTTCATCCAGCTCTACACCTTGTTATCTCGGATTCTCCAGCATCTGCAGTTCCTACTATCTCTGAAACAGGAAGCTCAGGGTCATTTTTGCAACCAGAACGTAGATGTTCTGTGAGGTGGTCATCCAGTCTATGCTTCGTTTCCCCAATGTAGAGGAGGCCACATTGTGAGCAGCGAATGCAGTAGACTAGATTCTGGGAAGTGCGGGTGAAGTGTTGCTTGACCTGGAAGGTATGTTTGGGCCTTTGGATACTGGGGAGGGAGGACGTAAATGGGCAGGTGTTGCACCTTAGCCGGTTGCAGGGGAAGGTGCTGTGGGGGGAGAGGGTGTTAGGAGTGAAGGAAGTGTGGACCAGGGTGTCCCAGAGGGGAACAGTCCCTGCGGAAGGTGGAGAAGGAAGGGGAGGGGAATATGTGTCTGGTGGTGGCATCTAGCTAGAGGCGGCAGAAATGGTATCTGATGCTCTTCTGGATGTGGCTGCTGGTGGGATGGTAGGTAAGAACAATGGGAATCATATCGCTGTTGCGGGAAGGAAGAGAGGGGGGTGAGGGCGCAAGTGCGGGAGATGGGTCAGACCTGGTTGAGGGCCCTGTCGACAACAGTGCTGGGAAATCCCCCTCAGTTGAGGAAAAAGGTGGACATTTTGTAAGCTCCCTTGTCAAAGTTTGCCTCAATTTCTCTGCCCCCCACCTCACCAAATTCAACCTATCTCCCTCCAAACTGACTGCACTTCATGGTCTTAGATCGAACCCTGACTTTGTTATTAAGCCTACCTATAAGGATGGTGCTGTTGTAGTCTGGCGGACTGACCTCTATATTGCAAAGGCTCTGTGCCAGCTCTCGGATACCTTCTCCTATCTTCCCTGGACGATGACCTCATCATGACACATCAGGCCATTGTGTCAAACTACGGTAACTGATTTCATTTCATCTGGTGACATCCGCCTACCTCGACCCCCCACCTCAACTGCCCCCATAGTCCCCCAGCCCCTGCACAGCTTGCTTCTATCTCCTTCCCAAAATCCACAAACAAGACTGTCCAGGCAGACCCCTTGTTTCAGCCTGCTCCTGCTCCATAGAACTCATCTCTTCCTACATTGACTCAGTCTTCATCCCCTGCTCCAATCCCTGCCCACATACATTAGTAATTCCTCTGATGCTTTACGCCGGTTTCAAAACTTCCAGTTTACAGGCTCCAGCCGTCTCCTCTTTATTGTAGACGTGCAATTTCTTTACATGTCTGTTCCCCACCAGGAGGGTCTTAGGATTCTCCGCTTCTTCCTGGAGCAAAGACCTGAACTGTCCCCACCCACCACCACCACCCTCCTCTGCTTGTCCTCGCCCTCAAGAACTTCTCTTTTAACTCCTCTCATTTTCTTCAGGCCAGAGGAGTGGCCATGGGTACCCACATGGGCCCCAGTTATGCCAGTCTCTTTGTGGGGTACATAGAACATTCCTTGTTCCAGTCCTATTCTGGCACCCACCCACAACTCTTTCTCTGATATATCAATGATATCATCGATGCTCTCTCATCCAGAATTGGAAAAGTTCTTCGATTTCGCTTCCAATTTCCGCCCTGCCCTCACTTTCACCTGGCTTATCTCTGACTCACTGGACCCGAAACATTAACTCTGAATTTTTCCTTCACAGATGCTGTCAGACCTGCTGAGTTTTTCCAGCAACTTCTGTTTTTGAACATATTAGTTAAGTTGTCTGTACTTAGTTTAAAGTCACCAAAAACAGATGAGATGCAAACTGAAAGAACTTTGGATGCAGTAAAACAGAAACAGAAATTGCTGGAAAAACTCAGCAGGTCTGGTAGCACCTGTGAAGAGTAATCAGTGTTAACGTTTCAGGTTGAGTGACTCTTCCTCCGAACTGGGACGGCAGGAGAAAGATTTGATCAGTTAGGCCTATATTCACTGGAGTTTAGGGGAATGGGAGGAGGCGGTCTCATAGGAAGTGATAAAACTCTAACAGGACTAAACTGGGTCAATGCAGGAAGGATATTCTCAATGAACAGGGGCTCCAGAACTAGGCGTCATGCTTCAAGGATCAGAGTAGGCCATTTAGGCCTTAGATGTGGAGCAATTTCTTCCTTATTAGTTTCTTAGTCCTCCTTTGCTGTTGTCTAAAAATTCCCCATTCCTCCGATTTATTGTCATAACATTCAAAACGATGAGCCTAATGTGGGTAAGTGGAACTGGTGTAGGTAGTAGTATATTTTTTGTGGTACATCCCTGATGTTCATTCCCTTATTACTATTTCTGGCCACTTTGTAAGCCTTCTCTTTTAATTTTATACAATATGTATAACTTCCTTTCTTGTCATGATGTCTCTGCACTGATCCATTGTCTAATTGCACAGGCTGCTGTCTGTACATTTGGTCCATTGCTGCCTCTTGACGAGTCTATCATCTAGCAATGCAGATTGCTGTCTCTACTTGTCCACATCTAACTGCGCTGACATAAGAATATAGCAAAATGGCAACAGGAATAGGCCATTCACTATGATCATGGCTCATTGAACTTTACAAATCCCTTTACTCGCCCCATCCCCACAACCCTGTGCACACTGGTGATCAGAAATCTCAATCTCTACATTAAACATAGTCAAAGACTGAGCTTCCAATTCATTCCATGGTACAGAATTCCAAAGGTTCACAGCCGTCTTGAGTAAAAAAAAGTTCTCTTCATCTTGGACCTAAGCGGTATCCCCCTTATTTTTAAATTCTCCCCCTGGTTTGAGACTCCCCAACTAAGGGAAACTGGTCAGTAGTATTGCGACAATACCTGCTGTCCAGCTGTATTCCATTGTTTAGCTCACTGTCTTCTGTCTCTACGGTGATATGTTGTTTAACTGCACTGACTGTTGTCTTTTCTTGGATCCAGGTGTTCGACTGTATTTCAGCACTACACCCTTCAAGCACGCAGGTGTACGGCCCAGTGTGCTGGTGCTTGTACATGTCCGCCTGCCACCAGGATTTTCTGCCTCAGCTACTCCTCAGAGACCCTCCAAAGTTCACAAAGCTCTTTACACCAAAGGTATGTCTACCACAGGTGAAAATACGACAGTGTCCTTTGTTACTTATCTGCCCTGTAGAACGTTTTACAAAACCAAAATGACTCTTGCTCCTTGCCAAAGGGTCCTTCATATCCTGCAGGGTCTGAATTGGATATTATATGATTTGTACATTGGGATTCTGTATCGACTTGTGATGTCAGTTGCTGTGCGTAGGTTATCTCTTTCAATTCTGCTAACAGACTGCATGTTCTCACATCGTCATTGCTTTTGGATCTCCGTGTAATGGTAGTTGAAGGTCCGTTGAGTTGGTATTGTGGCATGAATCTCAATTAAGAACGTAAACAAGTATCTGGAATGTGCTCCGCCATTCTCTGTGATCACGGCTGGTCTTCTGCCTCAGCTCCCCTTTCCCTTCTGCTCCCAATGTGACTCCAGACTGTCAGCAATGTAGTTGACTCTTAACTGCCTTCTCGGCAATTGGGGATGGGGAGTAAATGCTGGCCTAACCAGTAGTCATAGAATCACAGTACAGAAGAGGCCCTTCAGCCTTTTGAGTCGGTACCACCAGACATACGTAGACTTATCCCACTTTGCCGCACTAATCCGATAGACTTGAACACTTCAGGTATTCATCCAAGTCCTCTTTAAAGGTTGTGAGGTTTCCTGCGTTCCAGACCTCCGCCACCTTCTGGTTGAAATCATTTTCCTCAAATTCCCTCTGAATCTCCAGCCTTTCACATTAAAATTATGACCCTTCAACTAAGGGGAACAGCAGTTCACACTAAACCTAACTCCAGCCTATGCCCCTCAAAATCCTGCACACTTCAATCTTTGACCACCTCCCCCAACTTTCTCTGCTCCAAAGAAAAACAACTTGAGTCTATCCAACCTCTCTTCATAGTTGAATTACTCTGTCCCAGACAATGTCCTAATGAATCTCCTTTGCAACCCTTCCATTTCAGTCACATCTTCCCTGTGGTGTAGTGACCAGAACTGGTTCCCTGGGTTGTACCGTTCATTATGCATTTCCTTCCCTTGTTTCTCTGGCCCCCTTACATCACCACCTATATCTGGATTGAATTCTATTTGCCACTGATCAGCCTATCTGACCAGCCCATCTAACCCTGTAGTCCTCCTGTGTTCTAAGCCAATCCCTGTCATGATTTGCCATCCCACCAATTTTCATCTATTCCATGAACTTGCTGATCAGCTCTCTATATTTAAGTCTAAATCATTGGTATAAATCACAAACATCAAAGGCCTGTACACTGATCCCTATGGGACCCCACAGATGCCCAGGTGGAAAATGACCCCCTCAGGCAACATCCTCTACTTCATGTAGATGCTTTCAGGTAAATCCATCTCAGAACAGTGGAACGCATTCAAGAAGGAAATATGGAGAGTGCAAGGCCAACATGTGGCTTCTTGACACTCAGCCAATTGTGGATCCAATTTGCCAAATTTCCTTGGGCTCTTAGCTTTGCGATCAGTTTTCCATGCAGAATCTTGTCAAAAATGCTCAAGTACAAGGAGACTGCATCATAAGCATTGCCCCCATTACACCTAGTCACCTCTTTGGAAATTCAAGTTAGCCAGACATGATCTCTCCTTAACAAAACCATGCTGCCTCTGGATTAATCTCTGCCTATCCAAATACAGATTAATTCTGTCCATCAGAATTGCTTCCAAAAATCTCCCCACCACTGAGATTAGAGTGACTGGCCTGCAGTTTCCTGGTTTATCCCTTGCTCCCTTCTTGAATAACGGTAACTGCATTGGCTGTCCTCCTTTCCCCTGGCTCTTCTCCTGATTCAAGCGAGGAATTGAATATTTTTGCAAGTACCCTTGCTAATTCCTCCCTTGACTCAGTGAACAATCAAGGATATGTTTCATCCGGCCCTGGACACTTACCAACTTTCAAGCTGGCAGACCACCCTAGTGGTGCCATGGTGACTCGGTGGTTAGCACTGCTGCCTCACAGCACCAGGGACCCAAGTACAATTCCATCCTTGGGCGACTGTGGGGAGTTTGCACGTTCTCCCTGTGTCTGCGTGGGTTTCCTCTGGGTGCTTCAGTTTCATCCCACAGTCCAAAGATGTGCAGGTTAGGTGGATTGGCCATGCTAAATTGCCCGTATTGACCAGGGATGTGCAGGCTAGGTGGATTAGCCAAGGGAAATGCAGGATTACAGGGATAGAGTAGCGGGGTGGGTCTGTGTGAATGCTCTTCAGAGGGTTGGTGTGGACTCAATGGTCCAGATGGCCTGCTTCCACACTGTAGAGATTCTTTGAAGAAGTTCCTTTCTGTCTATGCTAATTTCTTTAATTGTAGCACAGAGCAAATCCCTGAGTTCTTTACTCATTTCATCCCTCTCATCCGTGAACATCAACCCAGAATATTCAATTAGAACGTTACTTACAGATTGCTTTTTGTGGTGCCTAATGGGCCCTCTTCGTCTCCTCATTATCCTTTTACCCTTTGTGTACTGGTAAAACAAGTTAGGATTTTCCTTTATTTTACCTGCCCCTTTCATTGCCCTCTTTTAAAAATCACTTTTGCATGTTCTCTATACTTGTCTAGGGCCTGTGCTGTTCTGAGCCCTCGCTATCAGACATAATGCTGCTTTTTTCTCTTAACCTGATGCTGAAAATCCCTCATTATCCAGAGTTCACAGGATTTGATGGTCCTACCCTTTATTGGAACATGTTGGTTCTATACTTGCCATATTTCCTTGTGAATGCATCCCACTGTTCTGTGACGTGTTTACCTGAAAATATCTGCTCTTCGTCCACTCTGGCCAGATTGTAGCTGATCCTGTTAAAATCAGCCTCCACTGCCGCCCCCACCCCAAAAAAAAAAGTTTAGGACTTTGATTTGGCTGACCCTTGTCCTTCTCCATAACAATCTTGAATCTAACAGACTTATGATTGTTGTCTGCAAAATTCTACCCCACTGATACTTAATCCACTTGCCCATATTCATTACCTAAAATTAAGTCCAGGACCAGCTCCTCACTTGTAGGGCCTTCTGCATATTGACTTCGAAAGCTCTCCTGGATGCATTTCAAGAATTCTGCTCTCTCTCTAAACCTTTCACATTATGACCACCCCAGTTAATGTTGGGGAAATTGAATTCACAATTCTCACTACCCTATTACTTGTACATTTCCCTGAAATTTACATACATATCTTATATTCTGTTTCTCTCAGACTGTACACTCCCAGCAATGGTTTTAGTTTGTAAATTCAACCCAGATGGTTTCATTTGAGGAGCCTCCAAAGATGTAATCACTCCTTACTGCTCTAATAGATTCCCTGATTAAAATTGCAACACCACCTCCTCTTTTGCCCTCTTTCTTGACACGCTGAAGACTCTGTGTCCTGGATGCCAATATTTGAGATGCCAATATTGACCCACTATCAACCATGTTTCAGTGATAATAGTGACATCATACCCTCATGTTTTAATTTGTGCCCTTAGCCCATCTGCCTTGTTTGCCAGATTCCTGGTATTAAAATAAATAACATCCAGCCTTGCCAAACTCCCTTGTACCTTAACCAGCCTGTAATGTCTATGCCTTCCTCGTTCACTCGCTGTCTGTTCTAATTTTGGCTGTTCATCTTCTGCTGCTGGGCATTCTGTTAGGTTCCAACCGTCCCCAGGTCTGTCAGCGTTAGGAGAGAGTGACACAGAGTCACTGTTTCGAGTCCATTCTGACTCTTTTTCAGAACTGTTCTGAAGAAGGGATTCACAACCATCTTCCCCACAGCTTTGCCATGCCTTGAAAGAATAAAGGTGCCTGATAACTTGAAAATGCCCATTTATCTCTGCTCCCTATTTCATGCCCCCGAACCAAGCTTCAATCCATGCAAATCTATTACCTCTAACTTTTTGAGCCCTTATGCTGTACTTTTCTTTGTTGCTCAATGAAATGCATTGTCTGAATTGAATTAAATGACAACCACAGGCTCCAGGAATATTCCAGAAAGAAATTTGCCCCCACACAGGAATATCCCCAGAGAGAACGCGTTTTGGGTGATGCAGTAGGATGGTCAGTAATTGCCTAGTGCCGAGCTGTTGTAATTATTTTCCATCTCAATCAGGCAGTGCAATTAGTTAAATTGCATGGGTCGTTCAGTTTGTACCTGAGGGTGGGCATGCTGCATGGCTGCTGTGTAGCAGGAAAACTGATATGATCCAATATCTGTTGTTACAGGTATTCTGCTACTGGCTGCCTCTGAGAATGATGACAATGATGTCCTCTGGTGTATTAATCATGATTCCTTTCCATTCCAGAGACCCCTCATGGAAGTACAGGTAAGACTGACTCTGCTAATGAGCGTTATTACTTGGCTGCTGATTAAACTGATTCTGTTTGTAAGGGTTATAGAATTATAGACGCATACAGCATAGGAACAGGCCCTTTGGCTCACTCTTCTATGTTGACTGACAAACTCCAAGTTACACTACTCGCAGTTACCTTCACTTAGTCCATACCTGCTGTGACCCAGCACCATCCAATGCTTCTCAAACGTTGCAAAAGTACCTTCATCCATCACTCTCTTAGGCAGAATGTTGCATATATTTATCACTGTCTGGGTGAAATTGTTTTTCACCAATCTCTTCTGAACCACTTACTCTTCATATCAAACTTATGCTCCCTTAATCTTTAGTCATCACTGCCGTGGGGAAGAGATTCTCTTGATAAACGTGTTTGTGCCTTTCATACTTTATGTATCTCAGGCCCTACATCGGCCTTCTCTATTCCAAGAAAAATAAACCCTGGCCTGTCCAGTTCTCCTCACAACTGAGAATTTCCATTCTTGTCAACATTCTGGTGAAGCTGCTCTGCACCCTCTTTGCAATAATGTGGCGACCAGAACTAGAACATAGAACATAGAACAGTGCAGCACAGTACAGGCCCTTCGGCCCACAATGTTGTGCCGACCTATTATCTTACTAAGATCAGTCTACCCTGCATACCCCACATTTTACTATCCTCCATGTGCCTATCCAAGAGTCGCCTAAAAGTCTCTCAAGTATCTGACTCCACTACCACTGCCAGCAATGCATTCCAACACCCACCACTCTCTGTGAAGAACATACCTCTGACATCTCCCCTATACCTTCCTCCGATCACCTTAAAATTATGCCCCCTCGTAATAGTCATTTCCGCCCCGGGAAAAAGTCTCTTACTATCCACTCTATCTATGCCTCTCATCATTTTGTACATCTCTATCAAGTCACCTCTCATCCTTCTTCGCTCCAATGAGAAAAGCCCTAGCTCCCTCAACCTTTCCTCACAAGACCTGCCATCCAGTCCAGGCAGCATCCTGGTAAATCTCCTCAGCACTCTCTCTAAAGCTTCCATATCTTTCCTATAATGAGGTGACAAGAACTGAACACACTATTCCAAGTGTGATTTAACCAATGTTTTATACATTTTTTTTTTATTCATTAACTGAATGAGGACATCATTGGCTAGGCTGCATTTATTGCCCATCCCTAATTGCCCAGAGGGCAATTCAGAGTCAACCACATTGCTGTGGGTCTGGAGTCACATGTAGGCCAGACCAGGTAAGGATGGCACTTTCCTTCCGTAAAGGACATTGGTGAACCAGGTGGGTTTTTCTGACAATCAACAATGGATTCATGGTCATCATTAGATTCTTAATTCCAGATATTTTATTGAATTCAAATTCTACCATCTGGCGTGGCAGGATTCGGACCCAGGTCTCCAGAACGTTATCCAGGTCTCTGGATTTACAGCCCATCGATAATAACACTAGGGCATTGCCTCCCCAGAGCTGCAACATGACCTCACGGCTTAGACTCAATTCCCCTACCAATGAAAGCCAACACACCATACGCCTTCTTTACAACTCTATCAACTTGGGTAGCAACTTTAAGGGATTGATGGACTTGGACCCCAAGATCCCTCTGTTCCTCCATACTGACGAGAATCCTGCCTTTAACCCTGTATTCTGCATTCAAATTCAACCTTCAAAAATGAATCACTTCAGATTTTTCTGGGTTGAATTCCATCTGCCACTTCTTTGCCCAGCTCTGCATCCTGTCAGTGTCCCGTTGCAATCTACAACAGCCCTCCACGCTGTCCACAATTCCACCAACCTTCGTGTCATCCGCAAACTCACTAACCCACCCTTCCACTTCCTCATCCAAGTCATTTAGAAAGATCACAAAGAGCAGAGGTCCCAGGACAGATCCCTGCGGAACACCACTGGTCACTGAGCTCCAGGCTGAATACTTTCCATCTACTACCACCCTCTGTCTTCTATTGGATGGCCAGTTTTGTATCCAGACAGCCAAATTTCCCTGAATCCCATGCCTCCTTACTTTCTGAATGAGCCTACCATGTGGAACCTTATCAAATGTCTTGCTAACATCCATATACAACACATCCACTGCTTTACCTTCATTGTTGTGTTTTGTCACATCCTCAAAGAATTCAATAGGCTTTGAGGCATGACCTGCCCCTCTCAAAGCCATGCTGACTACTTCTAATCAAACTGTGCTTTTCCAAATAATCATAAATACTATCTCTCAGAATCCTTTCCAATAATTTGCCCACCACAGAAGTAAGACTGACCGGTCTGTAATTTCCAGGATTATTCCTATTCCCTTTCTTGAACAAGGGAACGACATTTGCCACCGTCCAATCTTCTGGTACTACTCCGGTGGACAGTGAGGATGCAACGATCATTGCCAAAGGACCAGCAATCTCTTCCCTTGCTTCCCGTAATAGCCTTGGGTATATCCCGTCTGGCCCAGGGGTCTTATCTATCCTCATGTTTTTCAAAATTTCTAGCACATCCTCCTTCCTAAAATCAACCTGTTCAAGCAAATCCGCCTGTTTCATGCTGTCATCACAAACGTCAAGGCCCCTTTCATTTGTGAATACTGAGGCAAAGTATTCATTAAGCACCTCTTCTACCTCCTCTGACTCCGTGCACAAGTTCCCTCCACTATCCCTGATTGGCCCTACCCTCACTCTGGCCATCCTCTTGTTCCTCACATAAGCATAGAACGCCTTGGGGTTTTCCTTGATCCTACCCGCCAAGGCTTTCTCATACCCCCTTCTAGCTCCCCTATGTCCATTCTTCAGTTCCTTCGTGGCTACCTTGTAGACCTCTAGAGCCCTGTCCGATCCTTGCTTCCTCAACCTTAAATAAGCTTCCTTCTTCCACTTGACTAGGTGTTCCACATGTCTTGTCATCCAAGGTTCCTTCACCTTACCATCCTTTGCTTGCCTCAGTGGGTCAAACTTATCCAGTATCTGTAGCAACTGCTCCCTAAACAATCCCCATATTTTTGTCGTGCATTTCCCTGGGAACATCTGATCGCAATGTATGCTCCGTAGTGCTTGCCTAATAGTGTTGTAATTCCCTCTCCTCCAGTTAAATACTTTCCCATACTGTCTGCTTCTATCCTAACTGCACACAGTATTCCAACCGAGACCTTTCAGTGGTTCATAATGTTAAGCCCGAGTAATGAAGGTAACCATCCCGTCTGCCGCCTTCACCACCCTTTTGATCTGTGCTGACTCTTTCCTTTAGCCATGCATTCATCAGACCTGTCTCCCCATTCCTCTGCTGATCAACACATGTCACTGGAAGTAATCTGGAAATGACAACTTCCTTTTTAATCTGCCACATCACCTGCTAAATTCTTGCTGTAGGACCACATTTCCTTCTTTAATCTATTTCGTTGGCTTTGACATGTACCTTGACTGCTGGATTTTCACCCTCGCCGTTCAGAATGCTCAGCAGCGACATTGAGGCATCCCAACTTTGAAATCAGGGAGGATAACATACCATGTTAAGAGTCATGTTTGCTGCCACAGAACTGTCTCAGTTCTCTTTATAATCAAATCCTCTGTCACTAAAACTCTGTGTTTTTTACCTCACCTGTTTTGCAGCAAAGCCAACCTCGGTGCACAAACTTGGCTGTTGCTGCTTTCCCCAGAGAGGCCACATGCCCTCACGCACAGGCGCACCAGTATCCAGAATGATATATTTGTTGGAAAGGGTGATGACCACAGTGGCGTCCTGCACTGCCTGCCCACACGTACCCCTCTTCCTGGTGGTCACCCAATGCTTTTCTGCCTGTATAGCCCTTACTTATGGTGTAAACAGCTCATTAAACATACTATCCATGGTGTCCTCAGCATCTCAGAGTCTGTACACAGCTCCAGCCACTCCGTGCGGTCAGTCGGAGCTGCAGCAGAACACATTTCCTGCACACACAGTCACTATAGATACTGGAAGTGCCCCGGAATTCTCTCATATTGCAGAAGGAGCATTCCATGGGGCTGAGTTCTCCTCGCATTGTGAACATTATCAATTACGGAAGATAAACTAGGCACCAATTACTCAACTGTAGCCACTATCAAAGTGGATTTCTCGCTCTCCCTCTCGCGGTCTGTCTCCCGCGTGCTCACTCTACCGCATGCGCTCACTTTCTCCCACATGTGCTGTCTCTCTTGCGTTCTCCTGCGCGCGCGCTCTTGCTCTGTCTCCCGCGTGCGCGCGCGCTTTCTCGCTGTCTCCCACGTGCACTCTCTCCCTGTCCCGCGCACTGTCTGGCTTTCTCCCGCGTGCGTGCGCTCTCGCTCTCTCCTGCTTTCACGCGCTCTCGCTTTCTCCCTCGTGCGCGTGCTCTCCCTGTCCCGTGCTCGTGCCCTCCCTGTCCTGCGCGCGCACGCTCTCGTGCCCTCCCTGTCCCGCGCGCGCGCGCTCTCGTGCCCTC